CGCCGGGGCCCGGGGCCGGCAGCACGGACCCCCCCGCCCAGCACTCAGTGCCGCCATGCCCCCCCTCCCCAGGTCCTGCGCATCCTGGAGCGGCGCGGCTGCAAGCCGGCCCCCGATGACCTCAGCGCCGTGCGCAACAACACCTACCAGATGCTGAACCTGCTGGCGGAGGACCGGCCACGGGGGGAGGCAGCCCGGGGGCCCATCCTGGAGTTTGTGGCCTCGGAGAACCTGCTGGGGCGGCTCCTGTTCCTGAGCGGCTGCTGTGCTGGCACCTGCAGGGCGACTTCACCGAGGAGCGCAAGGTGGAGCAGCTGAAGCTCTACGAGATGCTTATCAGCCAGGCCCGGCAGCCCCTGCTGCGGCACAAGTCGGTGCTCACGCCGCTGCTGCGGCTGCTCAGCCTGTGTGCCGAGCCCACCTCCGCCCCGCTGGAGAACAGCCTCGTCCTGCTGCTCAACCAGCTCTGTGTCTCCGTGGCCAAGGAGCCCTCCATCCTGGAGCTCTTCTTCCACAGCCACACGGACCAGGGCCCCGCCAACCTCATCATCTTCTCCCTCCTCATCCCCTTCATCCACCACGAGGGTGTCCTGGGGCAGCAGGCCAGGGATGCGCTGCTGCTCATCATGGCGATGTCCGCCAGCAACCACGCTGTGGCCAAGTCCATCACTGACAACTCCTACTTCTGTCCGGTATGGCTGGGGGTGGCCGGGCTGACCTGGCACGATGCCCCCCCTCCCCAGAGCGGTGCCGGGACCCGGCTGGTCCCCAGGAGCTCTGCTGCCGATGCAGGGTTGGGTTTGGCTGTCGGGGCAGGACCACAGCTGTCCCTGGAGGAAGGTCCTGCTCTGGCTGGGGAGCCTGGGCTGTGGAGCAGGGAGGGTTTGGAGATGGAAGGCTTGGCAGCAGGCTGGGGACAAGGGGACTGGTGCCCTGGGGACAGCAGGGGACATAGGGCCCAGCAAAGCTCCCCTGCTTTGAACTGGGATGCAGGAGGGCAGGTTTCCCTGTGGGACTGGTGTTTGGAGGAGGATGGTTGGGTCCAGTGGCTGGACACCCAGAGCCTCCGGCAGCTGGGAGGCAGGAGCAGAGCAGGCAGGGCTGGTACCAGGGCAGGCAGGAGCAGAGCAGGCAGGGCTAGTGCCAGGGGACCAGGGCAGGCAGGAGCAGAGCAGGCAGGGCTAGTGGCAGGGCTCCATGGCATGTGCCGGGGCAGTGCTGCAGGCATCTGCACCAGTTTTGCTCCTGCTGCCTGCCCTGCTGCCGCTCTCCTTCCTGCCCTGGCTCCGGCAAAGCGCAGCTCCTGTCCCATCCACACACTGGCTGGGCCGGCGTTGGCGGCAGGTCCGTACAGGCTGCTGCGCTGGGTGGGATGTCCCGGGTGGGCCTGGCTGAGGGGGCACCGTGGCGGCCATCCCTGTGCAGGCTGCCTCGTGCTGCAGCTTCCTGGTGGGGGAGGCGGTGCCCCGGGGGCCGGTGGCTCGGGGGAGCTGAGTGCCTGTGTGTCCCCCCAGGTCCTGGCCACGGGCCTGAGTGCCCTGTACTCCTCCCTGCCCCGCAAGATTGAGGTGCGGGGGGACGACTGGCACTTCCTGCGCCGCGAGGACTGGATCGGTGTCTCCTCCCTCGTCCTCTTCATGAACTCGCTGGAGTTCTGCAACGCCGTCATCCAGGTAGGGCTCGGGGGCCGCCAGCCCCACGTGGGGCTGGCTGTGGCCCTGACCCCCCCCGCTCTGCAGGTCGCCCACCCCCTTGTGCAGAAGCAGCTGGTGGACTACGTCCACAACGGGTTCCTCGTGCCTGTCATGGGGCCGGCGCTGCACAAGGTGAGGAACCTCCCCA